CGAGCACGTGGTAAATCAGCACTTAAAATTGCAATTAACAATTTCATCATGGGTTGATCGCGTACTGTGAAATATACCGCAAGCTAGTGGGCACTGAGCTACTAATATTAATATAGTTTTATCAATACTAATTAAAATGTAATGGTTACTCAAAAAACTGCTGTGGTCTGAAAGGATTTAATATAAAACACTTCAAAGTGCTTATTTATCTTGAGTTTGAGAGTTTACTGGCATGATGAAAAAGTTATTTTCAGACATATTGATTAACTAAATAGGATGGTATCATATATATTGGTCGTTTTGCTTTTTGCACATGATTGTACATGATGTACATTGATTATGTTTAGAAGATATGTTTGTATATAAGTAGATTTAAACAAATAATAACAATTAAACTTGAGCAACTTCAAAATTTTTGTATAAGATTCATATTTGGTTTGCGTAAATATGATCATGTGTCAGATTTTTGTAACAGGCTCAAGTGGTTGCCAATTCGCCTTCGCCGGAATGCTCATAATCTCTCACTTCTTTATTATATTCTTTTTAATCCTTTCTATCCTTCTTTCCTAAAAAATCGGTTTGAATTCCTCAATGAATCAAATTTGAGACATTTGAGATCATCAGAAAATTTGATATTAAAAATACCAGCCCACACTACCAAATTTTTGGACAGATCGTTCACAATACAAGCTGTTCGATTATGGAATGACTTGCCGTTATCAGCAAGAAGCGCTCAATCCCTACCGGTTTTTAAGAAACATGTACATGACTACTTTTCTCAACTTTGATTCTATCTAGTTCATTTGTTTATAGTTATTCTCCTTTATTTAGTTACAATATTTGTTTATATGTATGGCACTTTTATGTTATATAAAATAATACAATAATAAACTATTACAGTTTTAAAGTATATATTTGTACTTTTATATATTTATATTTATAAAAATATATATTTATTTGCATATTTATACATATATATTAATAAGTATATATGTATTTATCTTATCTATGTAGTTACTTATATACCATTATATATTTTTATTTTATGGCTTTAATAAAAATAATGTTATTTTGTCAGCAAACCACACACGTTTTTATTGCTTTTCTTGCAATACTGTCCATCCAAAGGTTGTCTGGAAGAGATCGCTCTTAGCGATAAGATCGCCCATTGCACCACATTTCTTTTTCTCATTTTTTGTTAATATTTTTGTTATTTTTTGGCGTACAATAAAGTGTTATCTATCTATCTATCTAAAAACCCACAGTAGTCTAGTCAACAAGTTCAAAAACGTGTTAATTCTTGTTCCCGAGTGCGATAGCTTACTTGATGCTTACTTGATACAGAATTACGTATAGAAAAAAAATATCTCGAGGATTCGTTAGTACATAAAAAATTACAATTGTTACTAGTATTAACAAAATAAGATGAAAAAGAAAGATATTTAATTTTTCGTTAATAACTCAAAAACTATTAACATGTAAGAATTTTTGAAAAAAGGTCGTTAAAGAAGAGAAATATTTTAATTATAAAGTTCCATTCAACTTTCGGAATTCTATCTCCATATTTATAACTTTTATTTAACGCCGAAAATAGGACTCCGCGTGACCGTTGTGGCAAGAACACATCGCCGCTGAAGACAGTATATCACATAAAACATGTTTTGTAGTATTAAATATTAATTAAAAAGTTTGACAAAATTATTGTGTACTCAGAACACTTGAGCAAAAAAGTCCCAAAATTTATAGGTTAATTATTTAAGCTTATAATGTCGACTTTTGTGAAAATAGAGATTAGAAAAAAAATTTGTTAATTAAAAATCGTATAACTTTTTGAAAAATCGACATAAGAAAACTCCAGCGGGGCATTTTTATTCAAGTGTTTTGATGACATTATATTTTTTTTAATTTTTAAATTAATATTTAATACTATAATATTTTATGTGATATACTCTCTTCAGCGGCAATGGCGTTAAAAAAAAGTTTTAAAGGATAAGGGTGACAAACGAGCACACAGTCCACCTGATGGTAAGTGGTTGCTGTGGCCTATAGATATCTACATCTATCTTCGATTACGAATCAAAACGCAGATGCGTTGTCACCCGTGAGGACTAAGATGGAATGCCTCATTTCCAGTAAAAAGTAGTCTCTGATTCTCTACACTCACCTTACAAAACACAGCAGCATTAAGCTGCTATTTTACGCTGGTATTCTGTGAGAGCGTGGTACCTCTCTGGTCGAGCCGACCCATTCATGCTACAACTATACCAGTAATATAGCTGCAGCATGGCTCTACCACGTACAAGTTATAACAATTGCAGTTTTTATGTGCTAATAAACCCTCGAGACACATTTTTCTAGACATAATTCCGAATTGAATAAACTATTGCACATATTTATGGAAGCGGGAACAAGAATTAACACGTTTTTGAACTTGTTGACAAGACCATAGAACTTCGAGTAAATATTAAAATTTTCGAAACTTTTTATTCTATCTTCTATATAATCCACAATTCTAAATCGATGTAGATGATTTAGAAATATGTAGGTGTCTATGGGACAGAGCACTCACTTACCATCAGGTTAAATGTGTGTTCGATTGTTTTTTTTTACAGAAGAAGGATCACAAACGAGTACAAAGTCCACCTGATGGTAAATGAATAAAATCAAAATGCAGATGCTTTGTCACCGCTGAGGACTATGATGGAACGCCTCACTTCCAGTGAAAAGTGTCTTCCGTTCTCTACACTCGCCATACGAAACATAGCAGCATTATCTAACGCTTGAATTCCGTAAAAGCGTGGTTCCACCACGGTTTTGACGACCTATTCGTACTACAACATAAAAGAGCTGCAGCGTAGCTCTACCGAGCATAAAACCTTATTTCTAGCAAGCAATACATTATAATAGACGATGTCATCCAACACGATTTAGATAACAGGAATAACTTCAAAATACTAATAGAAGCTATCTTCTGCCCTGAAGATATAATAATGCACGCGTGAACACAGAATGCGAAGGAAACACAAAATTTTGTGCAATGATCAAAAAGGGTTCCGGCAAAATAAGACCATAAATATGGCCATTTATGAATTCATTGAAAATATTATATGCCACGTTGACAAAAGATCTCCCATTTGTGCTATTTACTGCGATATGTCACAGGCATTTGACTATGTAGACCATAATATACTTATTAACAAACTTGACGCTTACGGTATTAGATGAAATGTCCTACATTTAATTCGTTCCTACTTAAACAATCGACAACAAATAACAGAAATAACTAGAGTGAATCTTGAAACCAAAAATGAGAAACATACACGTCTAAGAAGCGCTATTTACCTTATGGCGTGCCCCAAGGTAGTATACTGGGGCCACTCTTATTAATTATATATGTTAACGACTTGGCAAATGCAACGACACAGCCTATTACATTATTTGCTGATGACAGTACTGTTACAATTTCATGTAAGGACATTAATCATTATAAATTTGACATCAAAAACGCATTGACATGTATAATTTCATGGCTAAACAATAATAATTTAAAAATCAATTTAATGAAGACAAATATGATGCACTTTGGACAAAGATCACAAAATCCATTAAATGTAAATTTGGTTTATGATAATTACACGACAAATGAAGTTACTTCTATCCGTTTTCTTGGCTTAATTATAGACAGTAAATTAAATTGGAAAGAACACATTAACGTATAATGTAAAAAAAAATCAGCAATCTTTCATACGCCCTTCATAAACTTGCTCCAATTATCAACACTGATACGCTTTTTTCGGCATACTATGGTCTTGTTGAATCTGTTCTCAGATATGGCATCATTTTTTGGGTGAACTCAACTAACACAGATATGGTATTTAAAATGCAAAAGCGATGCATACGGGCCATGTTTGGTATTCAAAGTACGGAGAGCTGTAAGCCATTATTTATCAAACACAAAATTCTCACACTTCCATCACTATATATATTGGAAATAGCTTTATTTGTTAGAAGCAAACCACACTTGTTTCCTCGCCTATCAGACAATGTAAGACGTAATCGCCGAGACTACAATAGACTATGTGGTCACCCTGCTAAAACAGCGCTACTGCGTAAAAGTATAGTATGCAAAGCTTCATTAATATATAACAAAATTCCAAACGACATTAAACAATTGAATACAGGATTATTTAAGAAAACATTTAAAAAAATATTAACGGCAAAATGCTATTATAATGTTAATGACTTCCTTAATGACAAATCTTTATAAATGTAACAAACCTATTTAATTACTATTTACTACTTTATTATATACATTGTTAATATCATTGTATTGTTAATGCCATTGTATAATTATTTTGATGGGAAATATAATTGACATTTATTACATTTAATTACTTCATGTTCTGATACATTATTTAGTAGATATTGTACCTTTTGTCATAACTCATTAATTATCTGTTACAGCTATTTTTATTTTCTATTTTTTTCTTATTTGTACACCAACTATGGTCAAACATGTTGATTCAAACTTATAACTTTAAGACCAATAATAAACATCAAATGTTTTATTATCTACATATGTTTTTGCAAATAAATATATCTTTATCTTTAAAAGAAAAAGCTATGCAATACAATACTATATAATTTTATTCATTGCTCGCTAATGAAAAACATAGAAAACAAAAGGCGGTCTTATGCTTCACAGCAAATTCTTACTGACAACCCACAAGAAAGAAATAAAATGGGAGTAAAAAATTATGGATTTGGATGAACCTTAAGAAAAAACTTTAAAAATTAAAAAAAAAAGCTTTAACAACTAAAAAACCTTTTTAATTCTCTTCTTATTATTCTAGGATAGATGTAAATGTCTAAAATGGCCTATTGGACTGTGTGCTCGTTTGTCAACCTCATCATTTTAAATATATATATATATAAACAAACTTTATAAATACAGTTCTCTTTCTACAACATCTGTTTCTTTTTAATTTAGACCGCCCCCTATGGATCAAGTAAACGTAACACGCAACGAGACAGGCAACGCGACGGCCGCCGACGAATATGAGTGGACCCAAGAGGTCATGTTTAAGATCCGCACAGCTGTGCTCCTTCTCATCGTCATCATGGCTGTGCTCGGTAACTTACTGGTTATCGTCAGTGTCATGAGGCACAGGTTTGTGTTATTTATTAACCGTAAATTACATTAAGTACCAATAGTGTGTTTTATAATACTAGATTGACTGCAGTATTACACTTTTTTAAGCATTAAGTTTAAATATTTAATCTTTTTTTTTCTATTATTACACCCTCTAATTTAGTTTATATTTCACGATTACAGCCCTTTCCCTGCTAAACATAGGCATCCCTCACGGTCTGTGACATAACATTCGTATACGTTTTTAATTATTGTCTATTGATTAAGAATCAAAATGTAGATACTTTGTCACTTTTAAGAACTAAGATGGAATGCCTCCCTTCCAGTAAAATGGATTCCGGTTCTCTATTTTCGACATAACATTGTTTATCTGGAAACAATTAATTCCTGTAATTTTACGCTACTATATCTTACCAATAAAATCGTAATAAGATGAAGATGCATTGCTTGCGGGCGATAGAAATAGTTTAGACGGCGTTTAAATAGAATAGAATTTAAAAAAATAATTATAATATATAAATACAGATCGATTAATGCCTCGACTTAAATTTTTTTGTGGGAATTATTTATATTAAAATTATATTTAAAAATGTAACGATTCATTATAACAAATAAAACCACGTCTAACTAGTAAAAAGTAAATTAAACTTACAGCCTATATACATTCCACTGCTGGGCAAAGGCTTCCCATGATTAAAATAGATAAAGTCTTAATAGTTGCATGAATAATTTCATACTCAATTTTTAACCGTAGAAATGGAATTTTACTCTAAATTTATAATATGGGACCACCTATGAACCTATTTATTGAAAAATAATGGTTAAAATTTGTTCAAAATCTACAAAGATATCGCATACAAATAAAAAAGAACCTACAGTAGATTTAGGAGCATCCTCCTTTTTTGAATATATCTAAAAAGTGAATAAGGATTTACTTGTACTGGTGCAGAAAAGAACTCTGTACTTCGAAGAATCGGAGGGAAAATAAGCTGGACTTTTTTTAAATAAATAAAGTCCACTGTTGGGTAATAGCCCCTCTCTTTGTAAGGATGATTGGCCTTTATCATTACAGAAGTTTTGAATGTTGCACCTTACCGCCGATCTCTGTATTTCACTTCTCCCGTACCGTTATGTATTTGAAACCAAAAGCCATGAGATATTTCTTTCATATTCATAGTCACTTTTTACACACGATGGGACGAAACGTGGTGGTGGATTCTCGTATGTTTCCACAACAGGCCAAACCTCCGAGTAAAGAGTACGCAACGTCTGATACTGCACTGGCCAAGCCAGATGTTAAGGTTGCGTGTTGTTGGTAGAGGTTTGTGTCTAACCGTTAACAACACTGATTTTTTTAAACATTAAAGCTCACTTTTGACGTGAAACGTCTATAAAATCTCTCCGAAACATACGGGTTGTAGGTCCAAAAAGTATAACGAAAAGGTCTATATCGCCTTGCTTTAATAATTACAAACCTGAAAGTCTTAGAGACCTAACTGAAATGCCATTAAACTTTCATTTTTATAGGAAAGCAGGCAAACGAGCATACGGCTCACCTGTTGGAAAGTGACTACCGCCGCCCTTGAACAACTGCAACAACCCCTGTTCTATTGCAAGTGCATTGCCGGCCTTTTAAAAAGAAGTAAGTTCTTTTCTTGAAGGTCCTAAAGTCCTATAAGTCCGTACAAATCGCCGGTGGTAAACTATTCCACAGAGAGGTCGTACACGAAAGGAAATTCCTAGTGAAATGTACAGTGGTAGACCGCCAACCATCCATATAGTGTGGATGGTATCGGGAGTTTTGCCGCGATGTGCGTTCGTGAAATTTGGCGGTTGGGATTAATCCGAATATTTCCACCGATCAAAAAGGACTACGTCGTCGACGATTCGAGCCGCTCTGCGCTCGATGCGATCATGTGGAAGAAGCTGGCACTGGGAAGCCCCAGCCCAGAGATGGGAACAGTATTCCATGTGAGGCCGAACCTGCACCTTGTAAAGTTGCAGGCGGTGTGCCAGCATGAAATACTGTCCCGCTCTGCTGAGCACGCCAAGTTTTTTAGAGGCCAATTTGACTCTCTCTAACCACAAAACTACACGTCACTCAATATACCGACACTGAGCATTCCCATACTGGCTGACGCAACAAGGGGAGTGCCTTGAAACTGAGAAAGTACGACAGAGGGGTTCGTTTTAGCGGTAAACGTGCAAACTTGTCTCTTCTGAGCATTAAACTGGACTATATTCAGTCGCCCCCAAATCCGAAACTTTGTTCAGCAAAGACTCTACTTCAGACACAAGTTTGTTCCGGTTATCGGTGACTTTTCCCAAGAAATATTGACATGGCCGGTGTGTAAAGCATCACCAGTGCTGTCATCCGCATAGCAATGAATATTACCGCTTCGCAACATATCATTGATATGCAAAAGAAACGCCTTGTGGAAGACCAGTATTAATAGGCTTGTAGTCAGACAATGCACCATCTACAACGACCTTGATGTTCCGATCTGCAAGAAAGCTGGTAATCCAATTGAAAAATTTTTTTGGGAAGCCCATTGGAAGGGAGTTTCGAAAGAAGCGCTTTGTGCCAAACCCGATCGAAAGCCTTCGCAATGTCCAAACTAACGGCCAATGCCTCACCATGGAGTCTACTACGTCCGTCCATCTATGAGTCAGATAGACCAGAAGATCACCAGCTGATCAAGCCCAACGAAAACCTTATTTTCGGTCACTAATCAGATGGTAATCCTGAAGGTACCACATGAGCTGGCAGTTTATAATAGATTACATTATTTTGGAGAACAAGGAGGTGATAGCCATAGGCCCGTAGTTGGACGGATCTGAGCGGTCACCTTTCTCAGGAACACACTTCCACAGCACAATTGAGGGGATTCCATCAAACCCACTCGTTTTATGGGTGTCCAATAAGAGGGGAGGTTTCCGAACCAAGCGCTGAGTGAACTTTACATCCGTTATGGAGCATTCACACCGCCGGATGGTCGGCGGCGTTTTCCCCCGTCATCGAGAGTCGAGTTGGATGCAAAGAAAGAGCTTTCTCCTTTGCAGCATGAGACAGTGAGTCGTCTTCCTTGTGCAGAAATGTAAGAGATGGCTGACAGAAGTTCCCTTTTAGACAGCTTTGGCGAGAGACCAGAATACACGGGTTCCCGAAGGAAGGTGAAATAGTTTCTCGCTAATTCTGCCTATGTACTCTGACTTTGCTTTTGTAATGACGCTTTTAAAGGAACTGGAGGCGGAATTATACTTATTTTTAAGGGCATTATTGTTTACATACCAGGACGATGATGCGTCAGCTGCCTGGTAGCACTCCTGCTTGTAGCGTGATGCTAATTTACAGGAGCGACTAAACCATGGCTGAGATCTTCCTCCAAAAGGCACCACAGAGGAAGAAATAAAATGGACCATATCCTGAAGTATCACATCAGCAATAGAATTAGCAACACGTTGGAATCGTCCAACGAGAAGCAAACCCGCCCAAGGGTAGGATGAAAAGAAAGACCGCATCCCATCCCAATCGGCCGCCCTATAGTGCCGAAGCCGGCAGAAAGCATCCGCGATTTCAGAGTGAGTGGCACCACACTCTGGACTTGACAATGGTCTTAGGAACTAAGAGGGGCATCGACGAAGACCTGATATCTGTCCGGGTGAATGGTCAGCAGAAGGTCCAACAGGGAAGGTGCATGAGGATCATCTGGCATCGTAAGGCAAAGAAACTAGTTGTGTCAGATCATATGTCAAGGCAAAATCATGAACATAAACGCGAATCGAGCCGTTCGGCGTGATGGACGTTAAAATCGCCAAGGATCATGATCTCTGTGGATGGGACCTGTAGTAGCAAGGAATCTGGTGAAAGTGGTCGATGAGTCGGTCTGTTTCAGCATATATAGTTAGCTTGCTATTGCGACATTGAGTTTGAATCAGGCCAGGGCCCATTGGGAGAAAAGAAGTAACGCACAGATTGACCAAAACCGCCGCTCTCTCTCCTTTGTAACACTAAAAGGGACTCGCTGACATAGAAGTTTTATGTTAAACTGTGTTGTGCGCCCCGACACAGCCCTTCTTGATTTTTTATTTATTATAAGCTAGAGCTTGACCACAGTCCCACCTGATAAAATCTGCTTTCTAAAACCATAAATTTTGCTTAAATAGTAGATATTTATGTTACTTCCCAGCTTCACCGTTAGTTAGACGGCTAATTGCGCGACTAGCGATTCAGTCAAATACAAACTTGTACTTGAATGTCTGAAAACATTGTCAAATCATTTAATGCTTCACAAAAGGTATTACTTAATGCCTGCTTTGATTATGACCTATCCGTCCAATTAGCCGGCTCATTAAACTTTCTGTTTAGTATGGAAGAATTGCTAGGTACTTTTTAAGGAATAGGTCACAAACGAGCATACAGTCTATCTAATCTAAGGGGATGCTGTGACTCATAGACATTTACATCTATACTTGTTGTTACCCTGAGGATTAAGATTGAAATTTGAAACACAGCATTATTCTGCTGTTTCACACTGATATGCTGTGAGAGTGTAGTCCTACCCCGATCAAGCCGACTTGTTCATGTTGCAGCTTTAATATAGCCACGTCAAATATTTCGGTTTCTTGGCTGAAAAAATCCATATATTTAGTGATATTTTTTTTTATATTAAATAACGAATTCGCTACAAAATATTAATATTTATATTAAATTTTTAATTCGGATGATTGTTAAAATTAGAGCAGTGGGAGCTCAGGGGCAAGCGCTCGTTGCAAATTTTACAGTACGCGAGCGACCCATATTTGATCCCGCCTGCACTATGTAATGAAATAGTTAAGTGCAATATTAAAGTATTGTAGTAAAATATTAACTGCTGATTTATCAAGTACTCGGTGGTAAAAGAAAACATTCAACCATTTCGATATGTGAAGTCCGCCAACACGCATTGGCGTAGCGTGGCGGGTGTCATTGCCATTTATCTGCTTTTTTGCCTGTTTTTTTTTTTAAATAAAGTTACCTCCACACTAGGATTTTTTCCTGTATCATGGGGGCAGTTTACATACATAAATTTCACAAGGACCAACATCCAGACTCGGAACAAGTATTTGTAGACCATACAAATACCAGGTCTTTCTCACACCGCGCTTTAGGCATGAAAATATAACTACGCCGTGCGGCCCCGCATGCGGGGCTAATTCCGTAAGGTTGTCACACGCCCGCTCGAGCTGAAGTGCACCTTACATTAACATAAAAATTATTTTTCTTCAATAAGTATTTAGGCACTTTTGATATTTATTTTTGAGTTTTTATTCAAGTATGGCCTCTCAAAAAGCCAAAAGGTACTGCATAGTGTAAAGGTGCCTAAATAACAATAGGAATGCCTACTTTTCATTCTTTACTGTTCCAACGAATACCGAATGGTAATATATTATTATTTATAGGTAGATTTAGATAATTAGGTACTTAATTACTGACGCCATACTTACAGATTTATTATTTGATTAGTGACCCGACTTTTGCTTCGCAGTTTTCGATTTTTTCGCGTATAATGCCAATGAAATTAAAATATATATTCAGTGTAAGTAGACCTCCCAATACTTGTGACTGCGTACTAATGCAAGTCCAGCACATGCTGGTTAATTGTTTAATACATAGTCGAAATAATTGTTCAGGGTCTGTTCTATGTATGTAAACTGTCTATGTATATGGGATGTAGGAATTATAAGCACCAGCTTTCGAATAAAAATAGATTTACATAAAAAAATACAGTCGAATTGAGTACCTACATAACCTTTTTTTTGAAGTCGGTTAAAAATGGTAAGTAGGTAAATTATCTGAGTTTCAAAGACGTTCACGTTGTTATAATCTTAATTTTCCTCGATGTTGCATATTAACCCTCCTCACATTGAACAATAAGGTGTTTTTTTTTAACACCAAATTGATGGCATTAGCGACGTTGTAACTAGGTTTAAACTCGCAAGTTTGTTATCAGAGAGTGAGCCTTCTGTTCTTGTACTATTATTTATTCTGTGCAAATACTTGTTCCGAGCGGGCTTCGAACTCGCGGCCCCTATCTCAGCAGCTCATTGCTAAGCCACTGCGCCACGGATTACTTGACCAGTCTGCTACTACTAAAAATAATTTTAGCATTATTTTTCAACAGTTAAAAATAGGTTAGAAAGAAACATTGTTAGACAATTTATCGTTAGACAAAACATAAAGGCAAAATATTTGCTTCACACGCTATTCTCCATTTAATGCTATTATTACTTTAACTTATCATCTACGTTATAATGATTTTATATATGTAGATATGATAATGATTGCTCCAAGAAATCCGTTAATTTGTCACAATCTTTAAAATTACCGAAACTCAAGTGCTGCTTAGGATAACAATAAGTACTACTGATGGGAAGTGGATACTGTACTATGATTCTCTTCACTCAGTACACGAAATAGTAGTTTTGTTTTGATGAGAAGATGGTTTCGACAGACGGCACTGTAGTCAAGTTGTATATTTATGGCCGTAATTAACTTATCAATATATTATGTTAGGTTGTAGGTATGTAGGTTTCATATCAAAAAAGTAAATTAAATAAATTTAATGTTTACATTGTAATAAAGCCTAAGTGAAACTCGTGCCTATTGTAAAGGGTAGAATAACGTCTGCCGGAAAAGATAGCGTTTTTATATAATATAAAGATGTAAAAAATATTATATTAAATATAAAACTGTGGCAGACCAGGCGCTTAGTAGACGCCGTAAATTTCATTGTACGTGAGAAATCGGACCTCGATCCCTGCGGACAACAATGAAATCGCTAGTTAAAATTTTAATTACTGATTAGACGCTAGTTAAAATTTTATCATGAAACAACAATGAATGAACTATTTACAATGAACCTCCATGTATGTGTAATAAAACGTTTCAAAGAAATATGGAGTCCACCCACATATAGGTACTACAACAATGACTGGGCTAATTGCACAATAATCCGCTTAGAAATAACAGTAGGACATAGACCAACAGTGGAACGTATTTAGCCTGTAACTTCAATTAAATTGTTTTGCTATTGCTATAAAATGATTTTGACCTAAAAGGCGGTTATGGGTCATTTGACCCATGTATTTTACTTAGTTTCTAATTAAGGATCTATGTGCAGTATAATTGAAGCAATAATAGACAATATTCATGTCTACAAAGGATAATGAAATATTTTAAATTTCTAGTGTAAATATGTTAAATAAAAAAAATTACAGGTATGACATATGACAATTTTGAATGAATTGCATCTACGACATAGTGCTTTTTCGCACAAGTCCCACGCTTTATTTTTAAAATGAATTAGTTGATATTTCTGAAGCGAAAAAGTCGCATTGAGTTCTCAGGAGTAGGTTTTTCTAAAATATTACTCAGACAGCCAATGGCAGAATAAACTCTCTTCTAGGTATTTTTTTTCAACAACGCCCAGGCATTTATTGCAGATAAATCTAAAATATTATAAAATACTTGTACCAGCTATCTTTTAGTCACACGTCTACTGTTATTCAGGAATGCTTCCATAAGATGCATGGGGAAGTGATGTACAAGACTGATTTTCCTGTTAAGTTTTATGTTTCCTGAAATATGGCTAAGCATTCAACAAGTTTTACGATTTGACAATAAGACAGAACAAAAATTTTATTCCAAATTTATTTAGTTTATGTGCCATATATTGAATAAAAGGGTAACGAACTTTTGTAGCAAACAACTGTTCATCAATTGCTGTATTTTCTCCCGGTTTGTAGCACAAAATGCTGTCAACAAAGCGATTCCATACTTGAGAAATCAGTGCAAATTTATCTGTTATAATTATCGAAAATAGTACTGATCTCACATAGAATCGCAAATATTTCATAATTTCTCTGAATCTATCCCTAGGCATAGTTTTAGAAATGCCTCATATTTTACTCCATGAATTCTTCAACGTAATAGTCATATTATTATGAGATGTTTTCCATAACATTATATTCAAGCATTAATTACTTGTCGTCGCCGAGAAGAGCTTTTTCTTGTTTGACTGCAACTTCTGTTTGTAATTGTACACCTTCAACTTCCCTATCCGATTAATCTTCTGGCAACGATTGTAACAATGTCAATATAAGGCTTCAAGGATATACTGAGACATTTTTTGTTGAATTTCCAACCAAAAATAACAGAATTGACTCAATTAGAATGTGTAGAGTGATAAATATATAAACTAAAATATATAAGTATGTAGAAGATGATCAGTCAACAAAATTAAAATAAATATAACTATCCTACATACAACAACAATTAATTCATCTATTGAATAGCTCAAATTACCCTAGCCGTACGTAGCCACATACATTGTGAATGTTATTTTCATTCATATTTGTATGAACATATTTCAATGTAAACACTTTTGTTTATAAAACAATCGTTATTAATGAATTCGGTCAAAAAAGTCACGAAGTACAAAAGTATATAAATAAAAAGTGACAAAATAATAATTACTGCAAATTCAAATTTGGGTCAAATGACCCATACCGCCTTGCTAATGTTAAGCCGCACATGACATGTTATAGTGATAGGGAATTTACTAATTTTCAACTTTTCATGTTTGCCCATATCGCGTCGTATCAAATATTAATTCATATTTTTATCATTTACCAGATTAATGCAAGTTTCAGTTTCCAACATCTGTGGGATGATATGGGGAAGTGGATTCTCTTACGAAACTACCACAGCTTCTGATCTTGCGGCCTCCTTCATTTATAGTTGGCCAAGCGTGTCTATTACTGTGCTGCCACTTGCCTTTATTTGAATTTTGATTTTGTTTCTCACTTTACTATTAAGGACATTGGAAAATAAATTGAAATATTTATATTTTAATCAAAGTTCATTTGCAGGAAACTTCGCGTCATTACCAACTACTTCGTCGTGTCGCTCGCGTTCGCCGATATCCTCGTTGCCATGGTAGTGATGCCATTTAACTTCAGTGTACAATTCTACAACGAGTGGATTTTTGGAACTGTCATTTGCGACTTATGGAACTCCTCCGACGTGTATTTCACTTCCACATCGATACTCCATCTTTGTTGTATATCTGTGGACAGATACTACGCTATTGTGAAACCGTTAAAATATCCTATCAAGATGACGAAAAAGGTTGGTGAATTGTTTTCTACTTCATCTCAGTATATAAAGACATTGTATATTTTATTTGATTGTGAATTAAGCTCATTATCATCATTCATTATAGTCCATCAATAGTCCATTGCTGAACATAGAATTTCACCATATATAAGCTCAGAGGGGGGATGCCACACTTGGCGGGTTGGCAAACAGATAAAAGTTATTGCTGCGCATTTCCATCTCCGCTTTTATTTTCCTTTGTCGCCTCTCATGATCATCATTACAGTTCTTCACAAGTCCACTGCTGAACATAGGCCTCCCCCAAGGAATGCCACAAAGCACGGTCCTGAGCCACCTGCATCCATCGACTTCCTGCATATCTTACCAGCTCGTCACTCCATCTAGTTGGGGGGTCGTCACTCCCTCTCACGATACCCACAGGAAATGGCAGTGGATTTTCTTACGATGCTACTATACGGCACAATGAAGCTTATAAATATTTAATAGTGAACAAGACAGCCACATTTATATTGATCGTTTTACCTAAGATAACCTTTTGCTTATACTTTAAAATTATTTAATGAACTAAAAATATTGATGTAGCTATATAAGTTAGTAATAGGTACTCGAAATTTTATATTTCTTTTGTATTCATTTTCATAAAACCACTATATAAAATATTTCAGATGGCGTTCGTGATGTTGGCTGCAACATGGTTGAGTCCAATAACAATATCCTACGCTCCAATATTCATGGGTTGGTACACAACCAAGGAATACATCCAGACTAGAGAACTCAATCAGTGTGAATTCAAAGTAAATAAACCGTATGCTGTCATTTCTAGCTCCATATCCTTTTGGATACCGTGTACCATCATGATATTCACTTACCTAGCCATATTCAAAGAAGCTAATAGACAAGAAAAGGCACTACACGCCAGAGCTGGTAACGCCATGCTTATGCATCGACATTCCCGAGAAGTTGGAGATAAAAATGGTGCACTACATATAAATGCAAATACGCCAACAAAAGATAGAAATATATTAAAGATGAAGAGAGAGCATAAAGCAGCGAGAACTTTGGGCATCATAATGGGTGCCTTTATACTTTGTTGGCTGCCATTTTTTCTTTTCTACGTGTCAACATCATTGTGTGATACGTGCCAATATCCGGAAGTGGTAACTGTGATTATGTTTTGGACTGGTTATTTTAATTCAGCCTTGAATCCTATCATATATGCGTACTTTAATAGAGACTTCCGTAATGCCTTCAAAAACACTTTAGCTTGTGCGTTTTGTAGTTTTTGTAAGCGCAGTGCTTCAGATTTGGACGCTATGGAGCGTTTGGATAGGCGCAGCTCTGCACAATTAAGAGTTCCTATCCCATCAAGAAGGGCATCGGATCTAGCATCACTTTGAATATCACCGAACCGCGATTTAATGACAGCAGTTTGATAGGCCTAGTTTTATTCTCAACGAAATTGAATTTGTGTATAAGATCGTACTTATTCCCAAAGGTGGGATTTTGTTTTCCGAATTCTACTGTGTGTTATTAATAATTAATTTACAATATAACGGAAATATATAACAAATGATTAGTGGTCAATAAATTATAAGCTAGTGATAAATGTTTAAAATATTTTGAGTGTTTGAATATTTATATTTACTAAATCACTATGTAATATCTATTTGATATAGTTGATTTATAATCATAAAATAATGATTTGTAAAAGTGCTAATAGCATATTTTGAAAGAAAATAAAAAACCTTTAAGTATTAATTGTAAATATTAAACGTAAAGTAGTTCAATATTCATCATCATCATTTTTATCATAGAAAAATAATAAAATATTACATAAATAGTTTATTAATATTACGGTTAAATGCGGGTTATTAATTCATGGGTCTAAAATCATAGGCATTTTTATATTAAGAAAACTCACGGTGATTGTAAGCAGATATAGCACTTTTCCTCGCTTTCAAAATATTTTTTTCTTTTACTTCTGTTTAAAAATACACATTTTTTTAATTTATTATTTAAATCATTGTAAAAGTATATTAGAACTTAAATAAAATTTGCATTTGGAAAACTACTAAATTTACGTTGTTCCTATCTTCTTTGCCTTTTTCTTTAGCTAATGTGTTTTCTAGTCGTCAACTAACGTAGGCTTTACAATTTGTTTTAAATATAGGCTATAAGCAATTATTTATCAAATTATTACCTTAGACAAAAAAAAAAGAAAATACAAGAAAATACATTTCAGTGACGTTAAAATCAAGCGTATTGTAAGATCACGCGCACAACATATTATGCATCTAAAATTATTTGTAACATTAACATGGTAATGCAGGAAAATGGAACAGGAGGTTGCCAACAGGACCTATCTGATGATGAACTCAAAATAAGAAATTGCGGTTGCTAACTCATCTGCTGAGCTTAGCATCTAGGGTAAATTTCACCTGTATGAAGCAATCTATTGGAAAGGCCAACCAACTAGTTCAACTGTGGAATTTCTATTTTCGTTTATTTATTTTCATTTATATTATTTTTGATAACGAATAAACATGCGTTGTAATATGTTGACTTTTAGGATAGAAAAAGGATGTGCTTGTCAAGAAGTTGGGCATGGTTTTAGCGTCAATTGATGTACTGGGTCTATCTTTTCTTGTTCGCCTGAGATTTTTGTTAATAATGTTAGCAATAATTGTAAAAAGTGCATTAATTGAATTATCTCGTACAGATAAAAACGCCACGGCGAAATTTTTACACGGTAACGTGTTTAGTATGTATTTGAAAATTTGTAGGATTTGGCATATACTTTAAATTTTCAAAGTAATAAATAAATTTACGAAATGCAGTAAACATTTTGTATATAGCTTCTATTTTTATTTATTTTCATCAGTAACTCAATAGGTTTTAGTAAAGTATTCATCATGTGTTTATCTTAGAATAATATACAAATTTGTATTTAAATTCATATTTGTAAAATTATATTTCATTGCTTAGGTTTATTATGACTTGTTATCTTCAGTTGTTGTATTATCTCTGTGTTATTGTATTTAAATTGAATTTTTTTTCTATTACTTCTTCTAATTATGTTTTAAGATTTGTTTGTCATTATAATAGATTATCATTTGTCTAAAATAATATAACAAAACTATATATATTTTAGCATAATATATTTAACCGATATAATTTAGATAATTTAGATATAATATTTAAGAACATAAAGGATGTTTAGTATTAAAGAACTTCGTTTAATGATAATAGGAAGATATGATAAAGATATGGGGACATAACGCTTCAATAGAAAAAATCGATTTTTAAAATATATATTGATGTGCTATGATTAAATATAACAGACCCGTTAGATTTGGTGTGTCAGTGTTGTGAAGTAAATTTTATATAGTTCTATTTAAAATTATTACTAACCCCGTCCTTTGATTGAGTTACGTTGCAGTTCTTAACAACATTTGCTTAGAACGAGATCAATAAGATTACTTTAGGAATAAGACAAAGAAAGAAAACATTTACTGGCATTGTACATACATATGTCCACGCAAAAACACAACAAAATAAACATGGCATCAGACTTAGTATAAATAACCAAAATGCAATTATATAAAGCAACCTCACGGCTGGACCAAATAGGTCTCTAGATCAGCAAAATGTCTAGTTCTTGAGCCTGACGCTTGTTTACGTCTGAAAACTATGAGCACACTGGACGTCAAAGCTATTGTATTTTTATTTCACATTAATGTATTTATACCGTTTTCAGCACGCCTTCGCCGTAGCTGGAGATTTGAATTCTTTATAAATAATTTATTGTAGTCTATTATATTATCTTCTTTTTGTATAATAGGTGACCGATTTAAGTTTTATAACCGATGGCAGCGTGACCAAGCAATTTTAATTTCCTTTTATCAGTGAAGGAATACATCACTAGGAAACGTGTTTATCAGAAGAACTTAAAATAAAATTCAAAGACATGCAAAGTCTTGTAACCCGTACCTGAGCAGCGTAGTGGATAAGTTTCTGCTTCACAGCTCAAAAGATGAGTGAAGGGCCATGAATAGAAGTTGGGTGCTTATAGGTGATTAGTGAACTTTATTACACTGTTTTAATACAACTAATATCGAAAGGTTAATAAACACTTTTAAACGTTATAGTAATTATTTATCTACATTATTAATTTATTATCTTGAAAAGAAATAGAGGTTTAAAAAAAGTTTTTTTTTTATTATAAAATAAACTCTAAAATTGTAAAATGATACAATTGCTTAGTATTCAGAACTGTAACGTAAAACAATAACATTTTGTTTGCTTTAATTGTCACTAAAAATGTAAACGAAATAAAAAAATATAATTGTCTCGGTGTGCTAATTTAATATCGTAGCTTTGGATTTGACATGTCGTGAATATTGTACAAAATAGATAGAACACTAACCTTCCCACTAATTTCTACTACAATAAAATCTTTTAAACTGACAACTACACTACACTCCTTTATCTTTTTGCGTTAGTCAGAAACGTGAAAGTCTTTGTTTCTACAAAGAATAAACTTTAAAGTCCTACCTATTAGAAACGATCGTTCTTGTAAATTCAATGTGTCTTCCTTTCGAATAAGATTTTAGAGCTCAATATGAAATTATTGTTAGATTTAAAATATAAAATGATGTAGGATTACATTTTAATGGAATGAATAATGTAGCTTTTGTGTCTATCTATATCCAGCATGTTCCCAAAGACGAGTGAATTGAATTTTACATCAAACCATTGGCTAGCTCTGGGACATCTTGGAGAATCTGGGACGCACATGCTGCAAATGTAAAAAAGAGTAATAATATATGGTTGTGACTTCATTAGATATTACAACTAACGATTATCAATTAGAGTCATACTGAAATTCCATTAATTTTTGCGTTAAATCAAAATTTAGTTTTACTTAGCAAGTCAATGAGTTTAATAATTGGAATTCATCTTGTTTCCAAAAAAATTGTAATACGTTGAATTAAATTTATTTGTATAATTAAAAAAATATATCTTTCGTTTAAAATCCGTCCATTACTTTTTGTCGTATTTATAAAACCTGCCTTTCGAAGCAATGCATCGTTTATTTTAAGCATATATGATAAGGCTAAAGACCGAAGTGTAAGTACATTTAGGTTTAGCCGGCTCCAATTAGATGCAGACGATTGCGGTTCGTTATACTAAGATTTACAAACTAAAAAAAATATCTTATGTTTACGCGAATGCTACACATAAAATAAAACGTGTTGTACGTAATAAAACGTGGGGTTTTGATCACAATAACTATATATATACATATATATATATATATATATATATATATATATATATATATATATATATATATATATATATATATATATATAGTTATATATGTATAACACATTATCTTTTTTGAATCCTGCATTACGGTACGATTTGTGTACTTTTAAATGTATCAAAAATACAAAAGCACATATCAAGCAAGTACTATCAATGACAGTAGGATAAAAAAAACGACAGTAAAGCCGCTGACGTTAATTTGATTTATAAATTCTCTAGAATACAAATTAGTTTACATAACTCCTAAGTTGTAGTCGACTAAATCTAGGCGTATTCATACTTTGGCTATTAGCCGTAGCTGTAACATGAGTTAGCTAACCAAAACATAAAGTATTAATAAATATATTTATTTTTCATTTGAAAATAGGTCTTGAGACAATTTAGAGTAGTTGCTTAGTTGTTTTCTACGCTATTATTGTTAGCGAACATCTTTCTTACTATTAAGAGAAACCAGCAATACGTAATATTAAAAATAAACCATAATGAATTGAAAAATAATAGGATTAAAATTAGAGTAGCCTAATTTTTATTTGTTTTTTTTAAGTAAGGCAAGTGGTAAGTATAACAAATATGGAAATTTTGCAAGTGGTTGAATTGAGTAAGGAAGGTTTTTTTCTCTATTTAGTTCGGGATCTAGAGCTCAATAATTTCAATTTATGGTATATTATGGTCTTAGAGACTAATCTGTTGCATCCTTTCTGGACTGTGATAGCTGTTAGGATATTTTGTATTATTTGTTATTTTGTCCATAGTTTTAATTTATATTGCTTATAAAGCAGCGAATATATTTTCTGTTATTTAATTAAAAATCTATTTATTTTATATTTAAAAGAGCATTAGAGATATAATTGATTTAAAACCAAAACGCATTGATTCACTACTTAATAGAATGCTGTAAATATTTTTATTTTTATCATTAATTATTTTGACATTGAAACTATCACGTTATAAGAATATTAAATTATAATAATGTATTTGTAATTTAGTTGTAATAGATACATTTTACATTATTTGAAAATAATTGCATGGTGAGATTATAATTTTAGGTGTATTCCTAATTAAATAT